TTAGCTGGGCGTGGTGGCGCATGCCTATAGTCCCAGCTACTGAGGAGGCTGAGGCAGGAGAATCGCTTGAACCCAGAAGGCGGAGGTTGCAGTGAACCAAGATCGCGCCACTGTACTCCAGCCTGGCAACAGAGCAAGACTCTGACTCAAAAAAAAAAAAAAAAAAAAAAGAAGCTGCTGGTTTCAACAGTCAGAATAATAAATCTATAACTTAGTCCCTCAGTGGGATGTTGATAAGGGAACCAATATTTTTAGGGTCTTTTAAGCCACTTACGGGGTTCTTTTTTAAACTGTGGTAAAATATACATAACAAAGTTTACTATTTTACCATCTTTAAGTGTATTGTTCAGTGTTAAATACATTTACATTGTGCCACCATCCATCTCCAGAACTTTTTTATTTTCTCACACAGAAACTACAGAAAGGGTTTTGATTCTACACTTTACTAGCACACAATTGTAAAGCTGTTTCCGTGGCCTGCATATCACGGGACAAACACTTGATCCAGTGGTGGCATTTCTCTGCACCTGCAGATGTTCCAGGGTTTTCTCCTTGCCTCAAAGAAGAGACTCGGTGGAGAACAGTGTTAGTCTCTTCCTCTAATGGTTCCCACCAGAGGGCTGTGTGACTTTTCTTCATGCCATCATGGGCAAAACTGCTTTCTTTCTTAAGTCTCCATTTTTCTTAAAACAAACAAAAAGTTAAATAGAAAACAGCAGCTTTGTCACCAACTTAAGACTAACTGTAAACCTCAACATAACTATATCATGGAAACAAAAATCATGTGGTTTTGTTTCCCCTAACATTACTTGGACTCCTATCTCCCAGGCATTTTTAGGAAACATCCACTTTTAGGGTAACAACCCCATTTTACATAAGAAATCTGGGTTCATAGAGGCTTAGTAATTTGTCCAAGGAATCAGAGATGTTAAGTGCCTTAGCTTGTGTTTGAACTTAATTGTGACCCTAACCCTTACCCTTTCTATTCTGCCACAAGAATGTGTGATGCTTCAGCCTCCCAAAGTGCTGGGATCACAGGCATGAACCGCCATGCCCAGCCTCATTTCAGTGTCTTTAATAGCTACTAGTTCATCACAGTTTTTCACTAACATTAAAACACTAAATATTGTGTTTTAATTTTTTTGAGAAATGTATCTATATCATACAGATTTAAGAATGTACCAACTTACAGTTTGTATTGAGGTACTGTCCATAATTTTATTTAAAAAAACCTGTCTGCAGTTATTTTTCTCTTTTAGTTCTGTAATTTTTTAAAAATTATTTTTAGAGATGGAGGTCTCACTCTGTAGCCCAGGCTAAAGTGCAGTAGTACAATCATGACTCACTGTAGCCTTGAACTCCTGGACTTAATGATCCTCCCGCTTCAACCTCCGGAGTAGCCAAAATTGTAAGTGCGTGCCGCTATGCCAGGCTAACTTTTCAAACTTTTTGTACAGACAGGGTCGCGCTATGTTGCCCAGGCTTGTCTCAAACTCCTGGGCTGAAGCAGTCCTCCCAAAATGCTGGGATTACAAGCATGAGTCACTGTATCCAGCTTTGTAATTTATTTTTGTCATCTACTTTTTCTCATTAAGTTTTTAAAGAGCCTATCTTATTAATGTTTTCCAAGAAGTAGGTTTTAATTTCATTGAACTTCAGAATGTATTTTTATTTTGATTTGTTTGTTGGTGATAGATCTATATTCATTCATTAGCAGATGCCCTTATCTTTGCTATTTTCTGTCTTCTTATTTCTTTGCATTTGCTATGTAGCTATTTTTCCAATTTCTTGGTTATAATGCTTTTTTTTTTTTTAACTTTTCTTGTTTTCTGGTAAATTCTTCAAAATTATAAATTGCCTTCTAAATTCTTTAGCTGTGTCTCCCGAGTTTGACATCTAGAATTATAATTTTTATTCAATTGTGAATACTGTATTTCTTAATTTTCTGTTTAAAATCTTGGGTTTTTTACTAATATTATTTCTAAACACCTGAGGTTTTTAAAGTTATCTTTTTATTGTTAATTTATAATTTTTTTGTTTTATTGCATTATATTTCAAGAACACAGCCTGTGTAATATTGAGTCTTTGAGAGCTATTGAAGTTTCTTTTATGGCCCAATATGCAGTCTGTTTCTGTACTTGGTCTGTGTGTGATTTGCAAAAAATGTGCATTTTGTGTCTGTCAGGTGTAGAGTTATCTTATATCTACTATTTTGAGTATTGTCTTGTTAAAGTTATCAACGTCTTTTTTTTTTTAAAAAAAAGATGCTTTATTACTTTCTGAGAGAGGTGTGTTAAAATTGGTGTTTCGTGTTGTTTTCTTAGCTGTGATATCATTTCTTAACCGTCTTACCATGTAAGTCCAATAAACAAAGCAGATGAGAGCATAAGTGCTCTGGTTGAATCTGGAGAAAAGATCTTAAATGGAGCCTCCTCTCAACCCCTCCATCCTGGGGGACTCTATGGCACCTCTGCAGAACCTGTAAAATGGAATATTATTGCTGTAAACAGCCTATCAACTAACCTTTCAGTCTTATTTCTGATCACCCACCCACTAGTCCAAAGAATTTCCAGTTTGCAGCCAGCAGCTACCTATGTTCTCCTCCCTATCCCAGCTGCATTTTCCTCTTGCCATTTCACCCACCAAGATTCTTTATCACATAATCAAATTGCGTACCATACTCAAGACTGCTTAAATTTTCCTAATTCCAAAAAATATTTTCTAGCCATATCCATTTTTGGAATTCTAAAAACAATTACTGGGGCCAGGCATGGTGGCTCATGTCTGTAATCCCAGCACTGTAAGAGGCCGAGGCGGGCAGATCACCTGAAATCAGGAGTTTGAGACCAGCCTGGGCCGCATGGTGAAACCCTGTCTCTACTAAAAATAAAAAAATTAGCTGAGTGTGGTGGCGCACACCTGTGATCCCAGCAACTCAGGAGGCTGAAGCACAAGAATCTGGGAGGTGGAGGTTGCCGTGACCCAAGATCACACCACTGCACTCCAGCCTGAGTGACAGAGCGAGACTTCGTCTCAAAAAATAAAATAAAATAAAAGCAATTATTGGTGGCACAATTTATTTAGTATTTATTCACTGATCTAATTAATAAGTTAGTATTTATTCAGTGACCAGCAGTCGTATTGGTTGGGAATTTAAAAAATAATTGCAGTCGTTGAATATTTGTTGTGTTAACTTTATTTTTCCTATTATGCTGTGTGAGCATCTTTATTGTAATGCATGTCTTACTCGTCTCTATTCATTCAAGTACCCACACAGCATCTTGTTCTTGGTTGCCGACCAACAAAAATGCCTTGTATTTATTCACTTCAGTGTAAATATGACTTAACTCTTTTCCTATATAGTTAACAGTTTTGTGATCTTGCAAGTCCTTCATTTTACTGTATTTTGCTAAATATGTTCATTTATTAGTAACAAGCTTTGTTCAGTGAGAGTTCTTTAAGATTCTCTTCAAAATTCTTGTAAAGCAGATTTATTTTCATTCTAAAATAAGCCCCCCTTATGCCTTATTTTTTTATTATAAATTCATGCATAAAGTCATTTTTATGAGTTTAAATTTATCTACTCACTTATAAAGCAGTGTTTGTTAAGTCTGGTAAAGCGATGGAGTGGACTGGGCTGTCTTCTTCCCCACTCTACCTTAAGACAAATGATTTGACTTGAGCTTTTAATTTGCAAGGTTCCCTCTTAAGGACAGCAAATGTAATATAAGTGAAGCATTAGAATGAGCATTTAGAGTTCCAAGAGTGTCACAATCTACTAATTTGTTATTTAAAAGCTGATGAGATAATTGCTTCCAGCCATGGTAGTAGACATGTAGCTTTTGAGTGTGGTGGCACACCTGGCCTGATCTTGTGCTGTGTGGGGCACAGGACATGCTTAAGGCAGTGCTGTCCTCACACTGATTTGTCAGTGTGGTTTTGCTGCACAGAACCAACACAAGTGAGACGTAGCCAGCCATCTCCTAAAACAGATCCTTTTGACCCTAACATAGAGGTAGCAAAGTGAGACAGAAGATGGAATAAGAGAAGTATAGAACACCTATAAACTATGAGCCGCTAAGCCCTTTAACATGTATGTTGTTTAATTTTCTCAACATCCCTGAAATGGATAGTAACGATTTATAGATGAAGAAGTGGAACCTCATAGAGATAGATAAAACAGTGTATTCATTGTTAGATATTGAGTAAGTGGTAGATTTGTGGAATGAATTCAAATATGACAGCTAAACCAACACCCTTAATTCCTCTTGCTTTTGCTCCCATAACCCAGTGTTATTTGGTACTCTTCGTATTAATATATATTAATGTAATTATTTAATATATATTAACGTAATTATTTAGAATTAATTGTTGATTTTCTTTCCTACTGGACCATAAGTCCTAAGAGGAGAAAGCATGATTGTTTTGTTCAGCGTTATATCTCTAAGACCAAACACTTTGCTTGCCTTAAATCTGGTGCTCAGTTAATATTTTTGTTTCCCTTTTTAGTGTGGGTGGGTTGGGGCAGATAGGAAAGGGACCATGGTTTCTGCCACTTTGTGTTGATTGACTTAGGTAAGAAGAGTCCACAGAAAGTCTAGGCCAGTGTGAACCTGAACAATCAGGTCTTACGGGTGAGTTAAACTTCTTAGCAGGAAATAAAATAATTTTTAACTGTAACCTACATCTAAGGCCATGCATGGCCTTAAGTACCTTCATTCTCAAAAATAAATTATTATAGAGGTTGGCACAGTGCCACATACTAGTAGTTCCAGCTACTTAGGAGGCTGAGGCAGAAGTTGGAGGCTGCAGTGTGCTATAGTCACGCCTGTGAACAGCCACTGCAGCACTCCAGTCTGGGCAATATAGCAAGACTCTGTCTCTTCAAAAACAAAAAAGGTACCGTGGTTGAGAAATCACAGTAAGGATGGGGAAATGCTGACATCTCAATAATACAGATCAAGCTACTCTATTTAATGTTTTAAAAATTCTTTTAATAGAAAAAATCAGACAAAGATATGCAGATCTGCCTGGAGAACTGCACATTATTGAACTTGAAAAAGATAAGAATGGACTTGGACTCAGCCTTGCTGGTAATAAAGACCGATCACGCATGAGCATATTTGTGGTGGGAATTAACCCGGAAGGACCTGCTGCCACAGATGGACGAATGCGTATTGGAGATGAACTCTTAGAGGTGAGAAGCATATGTTTTTAACTTATCTTTTGGTGAAGTGGATGGGTGCAGTGGATGTTCTGTAGGAAAATGAGGTGAAAGAAAAGAATGATGTCAAATTATATTTCCTTCAACTACTTAAAATCATTTTTCAAAGCAAGAACAGAAATGTTGCTTGCAAATGTTATTTGCTACTTATGTGAAAACTAATCTCACAGAATATTTTAGAAGTTCTTCAGTAAAATATCATCAAAACATATTAAAACCTTTGTTTTTAATATCAATTTTTAAATATTCAAAATTAATTTGTTTGTATATTAACCTAATTTTGGTAGTATTTATCAAAATTCTCTTTGGGTTTTGAATTAATCATATGTGTAACTGTTATTGTTCTTCAGTTTTTTGGGGCAGGGAAGTGGGGAAGATGTTACAGCCAACAAGAGCCTGTGAACTTCTCAAAAATAATAGTTAATGTCTGTGAAGTTCAGGATATGGGTTAAGGTTACATAGGTTCTTTCTTTAGGAATAGAATAGACAAAACAGAAGCTAAGAAGATGACTGATCCTCTTTAAATTACTCTCGATAATTTCATTAATAATCTGAAAAGGTTATTATTCTTCTACACTTAAATTCAAGGTATCTGTTCTGAGCTTATCTTAGTTTGATACTCATTTGGTTATTCATTCACTCATTCTTTCAGCTAACACTTCTGAGTGTCTATTAGGACCAGAAACAGAAAAAGAGATGAAGACATCCGGTTCCTTCATTAGTATAGCTCACAGTTTAGAAGAAGAAAACAGACATGAAAAGATATTTATATTACAAAAGGAGAAATGCAATAATGATGATGATATGATGATGATGATGATGATGATGACAATAACTGCTAAAATATACCTGGTACCAAACAGAACAACCTCTTTTACTGGTGAGATCACAAAGTAAATGATGGTGTTAGGATTCAATGGCAGGCAGTTTGACTTGTAGCTCTCTGTAAACCATTGTGCTTTAAGGCCTATTTGATAAAATGTTCCAACTTTAGGACATTTAGGCTAGCTAAATCACAGAGACGCTGAGTGTTAGACTGCTTACTTGAAATGAAGGCTTACTGATTTTGCATTTTACGATTTCCTCCTCAGACTTGACTCAGAATAGAATTTACAGTCATCCATAATTTTACTTGCCTAATAATAACTACTGCCACAGCTGGCCAGGTGCAACAGGAAGACCATCACCATCAACTCTTTCTTCCAATTGCTGGTTGCTTCTTCCCACTTAAAACCTGTTTCGGCAAAGAAGTCACTTCCAGGAATACTTTTCTTTTCTTGTTCTTTTATGATATAGCATCCTGAATGGGACCCACATTGGGTCATAACCCTGACTAGTATAATCATTACATAAATAAAGTCAAAGATGACCTTATGTAACTAATATTATTCATTACCTCAGTTTGTTTCCTTTGGCTTATGTTTAGAGACTTCCTCAGAGATGAGACAAAAGTGATGGCAGTAGTAAAAATGATGAAAGTTAGAGCCAGTGTACTCAGTTATCACTAGCACTGCGCATATGCATTGTACATATTTGTATTCAGTATTCTTAAGAACGCTTTATGGTAACAACTATTATTATCTCCATTTTATGGGTGAGAAACTGGGTAAATAACAGACCTAATATTGCAGAACTAAGTGACTAAGTGTGGTTAAGAACCCAGGCTTGCCAGACTCCAAGACCCATGCTACAGCCCCTGAGGTATACTGTGCTCCCCATGGGACTTTTTTTTTTTTTTTTTTTTTTTTTTTTGAGACGGAGTTTCCCTCTTGTTGCCCAGGCTGGAGTGCAATGGCGCGATCTCGGTTCACCGCAACCTCCGCCTTCCAGGTTCAAGAGATTCTCCTGCCTCAGCCTCCAGAGTAGCCAGGATTACAGGCAAGCGCCACCATGCCCGGCTAATTTTTGTATTTTTAGTAGACACAGGCTTTCTCCATGTTGGTTGGGCTGGTCTCGAACTCCCGACCTCAAGTGATCCACCCACCTCGGCTTCCCAAAGTGCTGGGATTACAGGCACGAGCCACTGAGCCTGATCTCCGTGGAACTTCTTTAACCAACCCAGTCTGTTTAGATTCAGGAGATTCCTGATTTTTTATGCTTTCGTCTTCAGGGAATCATGTATATTAAGTCACTCTGTTGTGTCATACATATCTAGACAGAGATTTCCTGTCTTGCTTGGTATATGGAAACACTCCAGAGGCTATAATTTGGAATATGAGGATTCTTGTTCCATTCTTTCTACCTTATTGAGACTCAAGATGGAATGTCCTGTGGTATCCAGAACAACAGGAGCACGGGTATTTTATTTCTCTGTCTGACATTTTATTAGACACTGGTAACAAATGAGCTGTGGCTGCAGAGTAATGAGAGTATTTTACAGGTCAAACACAAAATTCAGCACTATGTATGTGGCAGCAAGCACTGGACTCAGAAGACCTACCATAACTTGTCTCAATGCTTTTGATTATTGGTTATATTTCAGAAGTTGCTCAGCATAATGTATGTAGGAGGTAAAGAGTTTTCCTTGTCTTAGACAGCAGAACATCAGCTGACATCAAATGTGTGAAGATTGTCCCCCACATGCCGAGCAGTTCATCAGCTGACAGCAATTGAGTATCCTATGATTCAATTCAGTTCTGACACTAGGTACGTGGAGACAGCGTCAGTCCCACAGGTTAAGGGCTCAGTCCCGCAACACTGTCTCCCACCACTTTAGAGGCCATTCGCAATCCCAGGTTATGACCTGAACTTCTGACCAACCAGCTCTTAATTGGGAGTTTCCATGAACCCCTCCTCAGGTTTGATTAATTTCCTAGGATGGCTCACAGAAGACAGGGAAACGATTTACTTATATTTAGCCATAAAGAAAGTTAGGAAGATACAGGCAAACAACCAGATGAAGAGACAGGTTGAGGTGTAAGTGACGGGGAGGGCAGAGTTTCCATGCCCTGTCTGGGTGTGCTACCCTCCAGACAGGTCCACATGTTCAGCAAGCCAAGAGCTATTCAAACCCCATAGTTCAGGGGTTTTTATTAAGGCTTCATCATGTAGGCATGAGCAATTATTACCTCATTCTCCCTGAGGGTCGGAACTGAACATTCCAAGCTTTTAGCTGTGGTTTGGTCCTTCTGGCAATCATCTCCCATTCAAGAACCCACCAAGAGTTGCCTTGTTAGAACAAAAGACACTCTTGTCGCCCAAGGAATTCCAAGGGATTAGGAGCTCTGTGTCAGGAACCCAGATCAGAGACCAAATATTAAAACAAAAAAAGATTTGAACTCCTGCTGGAATACAAAACTCTTGAGCATCTGCAAACTAAAAATTGACTTGAGGGTTTTTTTTCCTAGTCATTGGGAATGTAGAGCAGTGTGTCTTGCATGTCATCGGAAGAATAGATTTTTGTTTTGGTTTTGTTTTGAAAATGACTCTGAACATTTATTTCCATTGCAATTTCTGTGGCTAAGAAGACTTAAACTTTACAAGTATTATCCTTTTAAGATCATTTTAATTTTAATTGAGTGCAGAGGGCTTTTATAACAAATGTGCAGAAATTTTGGAGGGCTGTGATTTTTCCAGTATTAAATATGCATGTATTAATCTTGCAGTTTATTTTCTCATTGTGTATGTATCTATTGTTTTTCTCTGCAGCATGATTTCTCTTTTGATAATGCCCTTTAGAGCACAACTAGTTATCGGTAACTGAAAGTATCTTAATCATTATGGCTGCTTCTGTTTTTTCATTAACAAAGGTTATTCATATGCTAGCATATAGTTTCTTTGCACCCACTATTTATGTCTGAATCATTTGTCACAAGAGAGTGTGTGCTGATGAGATTCTAAGTTTGTGTGTTTAAACTTTTTTTTGAGCGAGGGAAGAAAAAGCTGTATGCATTTCATTGCTGTCTACAGCTTTCTTTCAGATTATGTTCATGGGTTTGTGTGTACACAATATGAAGAATGATCTGAAGTCGTTGTGCTGTATTTATGTGTATTCACCAGTCTTTGATTAAATAAAAAGGAAAACCTGAAAAAAAAAAAAAGATGTACCTAACACCTAGCACCCCTGTTGCTCAGGAAATTACAAGGGTTTTAGGAGCTCTGTGCCAGAAACTGCAAGCAGAGAACAAATATGTATTTCTGATTATATCACAATAGCACAGCATGGTGAATAGTTAACTGTTAATTAAAACAGACTTCCACCCCCTTAGAAACTTCAGGTATCTGTTTGCTAAGCTGGAGTCTGGAAGAACTCTGCTGGATAAAAAATAAGAACATTTTGCTTTATTGGACTCCTTCTATTCTTTCCTTTGACTTTCTGAATTTGGCCCTTTCATTGCAATTCAGCAACTTCATCTTCATTCAGAGACGGAATGAGCAGAAAGATTAAACATACCAATAACTTAACTCCCCATCACTCCACAAAGATTCTGTAGTTTAAAAAAAAAAGATAACAAATACAAATATGTTAGAATACAGATTCTGGCATCATGTATCTTTGGCTAATTGTTTATCTTCTCTAAGCCTCAGCTACCTCCTTTTTCAAATGGAGATTATTAATTCATTCAGCAAATATCTTACTGTGCATCTGTCATATAGCAGGCACTGTATGAACAAAGTGTAGATTCTCTATTGGTGAACAAAATACATAATACCTGCCCTCACAGAGCTTCCAGTCTAGTGATTGTACAGCATCAACCTCAGAGGATACTGTGGGAATTAATAAGAGTATCTGGTACATAGCAATACCTTAATACATTTCAGATGATTTTGATTTTATTCATATTTTGTTCAGAGTTGTTTAGCTCAGTTCTTTTTAGTTCATTTATATTAATGCCTTTGTCTCTGAAAGTATGTCCCATAGAGAAGTCGTCTTTTTATTCCTTGATGGCTCCATGCAACATCCTGAAGAGCTGGCAGAATGGAAAAATGCATATACAAGATTCTTTTTGTTGTTGTTGTTCCCAAGACAGAGT